TCCTGAGGCAGCAGAGGCGGATGAAGACAGGTCGCCCATCTCTGCTGAGCCCACGGGGGAGCAGGGAACGAAGCAGATCCCAGGGCTAGGCCAAGAGATGGCTCTGTTGCCATGTAATTACTGCCTGCCTTATTTTGGGTGGGGTCTTTTTGCAAGCAGCAAATTCAGCCGCCCTTTCCCCTTCTCCCCTCCTGTTGCTTCTCACCACCTTGCTCTCCATGGGGAACAAAGAGGACCAGGACCAAAGCCCATGCTCCCCTCCTCCCTTCCCTACTCGTCCCACACTCCTATTTATTATTTTCCCCCAGGTTCCCATAGAAACCCTTGTCTGTGGGCCTGGCAGGAAGCCACCGTGTTGTTGTATTATTTTTTTTTTAATATATAAATGAAGTCATTCATTAAAATCTGCCATGATCTCCCTCCCTTGTGCGACAGCTCCAGATAGTCTCGGATTCGGAAAGCCTCTTAACCCCCTCTCGCCCATATCGCCCCAGTTACGAGAAGCAAGGTCCATGTTTATGCCAGAACAAGTTAAGATTTCAATTGAATTCCTTCACCCCCTCCTCCAGCTCCTTGGGAAGCCACGGTAGAGGCAGCACTGCACCAACCCCTTAGCTTGACCGGGGTGCCCAGGGGAGCCCAGAGGGGGGTCCCCTCCAAGCCATGCAAGCTTTCCACGGTGAGAGAGCAACATTGGTTGGCAGCCTTCTCCCTTTCCCAGTTGGATGTGACTAACTCTCTCCCCATGACCTCACCGGCTCGCTATTCTGTCCCTGCATCCTCCAAACAGGCTGAGGACAGAGCCGGGGGGCGACCGTTTTGGGGAGAAGGATTTTTCTGCAAAAGCAAGGAAATATCTTTCCCAGCTCCCTTTGCTGCAGAGCAAACTGGCCTCCGAGCTGCCTGCTGCCGCGCTGGGATGCAGCTCAGACACAGCGAGCATCGTGGCAGGGCTGCGGTGCTGGGAGCTCCGTGCCTGCTCTTCTCAGCCATAAGGGCTGTGGATGAAGCCCCCACAGAGCCCCACGTTCTGAATTATCAGCACCCTGCAGCAAACACCTACAACCAGTTTATTAGTGGATTCAGAACTTTCTCTCATGCTCAAACAGGCTGGCAGCAGAGCAAGGGTTAATAAGCGGTGCTTTGGGGTTCCGCAGGAGCGGTGCTTTGGTGTTCAGCAGTCACACCGACAAGCAGAGGGAAAAGGATGATTCCTTTTTAACTGACCTAGCAGCACAAATATTTGTCTCCAGTGAAAAACAAACAGAACAAAAAAAAAAAAAGCCCAAACAAATGAGAAACTAAACCTTGCCAAAGTCCTTGCGTTTGGGTCAGCTGCAAGGGTTTGTTGGCCCACAGACAGAATGCGCCATTTCAATTTGGACAAGCCCAAGTGTGAGGAGGGGGTCAGCTGTTAAATTGCCTTTCAAAGCAAAAAGGTGGAAAGATTTAATTTCCAAACGGTTCTGTTTCCTAAGAAGGGGCTGCGGTCTCCCGATTGCTCTAATTGCTCACAATCACATTCGGTAACGCAGCGTGCTCAGCCCACAGTAGTATTGCACAACTGTCTTTCCCATTTCTAGAAATAATTACCTGGTGCTTCAGGATGGGGCTGATACCACATACCTCCGCCTCCACCTCCAGCCCACACTTTCCCAGGTTGGTCTCAGGCTGGTGAAGTTTTGGGAAGAAGCAAACTCATAGCTACCGGTGGGACAGAGAACTCACCATTTCGTTTCACCCAACGCAGGGCGGGGAAAGGGAAAGCAAGAAGACTTGAAGCTCGAAGCCTTGCAAGATGAGCTACAGCATGCTACACTCCTGCATCCAGTCCCCTGCCTACATAGAGGGGTTTTCGTGTGAGGTGAAAGGAAATTCAGCCCCTCACGCAAACCTTGGGAGACTGGAGAAGGGAAGGAGGGAGGGCAGAGAGACCGCTTTGTTGCCCCAGGAGCTGCAGCAAGGCTTGCTCCAGCAAAACCTCATCACAGGGCTGGGTCCTTTCTCTTATGCGGTCCCTACATCTCCGCCAAGAGCTTTTGGAGGTCTTGGTCTGGGGCAAAACACTCTTTGTAGAAGGGGCTTATCTCTTCCTGAGGAGGTGGGGAGATCCTGGAGGTCTAAGGATGGACTGAAAGCACCTCGGTTCAGCTCTGCCCACAGAGTCCCAGCTTGCCAAGCATCTCGGATGCTCAGACTTCTGCTCTGACTGGGGCCGGCTGCCCAGTTCAGACCCAGCTCTTGACTTCAACCCCGTCCCGACCCCCACCCCAGGGAGGGGTTTTATTTCCAATTGCCCTACAGAACAACACCTCCTCCCGCTCCTGCAGAGCAATGATACAGGCACCGACGCTCCAGCTGCACCATTCCACATGGCCACGAACACCCGCTCCAGACAAACCAGCGTTGCTGGAAAGGTCATGTTTCCTTTGGGCAATTCCTCACCGGCACTTGAGGAGATTATAATATTCAGGCGAGGGAAATTTCTGGCATCAGATGAGCTGTGTTTAAGGGAAACGCTGCAGACTCGAGGAGTCTTTTGCACGGCCGACAGCTCAAAGGAAGCTTTGCTGGCCCAAACCCAACCTTCAGCACTAAAGCTAATTCCAGAAAGGAAAATGAAATGCCTCCCAAAGGCTTTGGACTTTGCAAACCTGTGCCAGAAAAACCCAGGAACGCTTTACCAGCACATTGGACATTCCTGTCTCCTGAGCTCGCTGGGGTATGAGGCCAGGACGGTGTTAACTTTGGGGGCTGCCTCTGTCAGGTGGGCTGCCCCCACAGAGCACGGGCGAGAAGGTTTTGGGAACAGGGTTTAGGAGGAGCCATGTGCAACCCCTGGTATGAGGGCTGCTGTTTCCCAGAGGATATATTGCCCCATCACCTGCGAAAGCAACAGCTTTCAGCATCTACCACCACTGAAATTATCACCCACAAGAGATGGGGCTGCATGAACTAGAGAAGAACTGGGAAAGGTAGCCCTGTGTCCCCCGGCAGCCACCCCGTTGGCCTCTCTGTTGAGGTTACAGGAAAAGGAGATGCCAGAAACCTATGCAAGGGACCTTCCCCTTCCCATGTAATTCATTGCAGCCTCCATTGCCTTGTCACGGTGCTAGATAAAATATCGGTGCAGAATACGGCCTAGGACTGTCAACAAGTTCATCCTGCTGCCAAGCAGAGCTGCCAGGCTTTATTTCATATTTTTATGAAGGTCCTAGACATGATTGGCAGGGGTACGGAGATGTGCAGCTCAGCCTGTCATGTGAAATGGAAGAGGACACCCTCAAAAGGCTGCAACAGAGTATCTCCTTCACCCACTTGACCTTCCGCCAACAAATTAATCACTTAATCTCTTACAAACGGCATATAATGGAT